CAGTGCTGGTTAAAATTTCTCAGAGGAAAGAAAGAAGGAAAGAAAAGGAAGGGAGGGAGGAAGGAAGGAAATATTTCTCGCTCTTGTGATGAAGGACTTCAAGAATACAAAAAGACAAGGGTGCCTGGGTGGCTCAGTCAGTTAAGCACCTGCCTTTGGCTCAGGTCACGATCCCAGGGTCCTGGGATGGACCCTGCTCAGTGGGGAGCCTGCTTCTCCCTCTCCCTCTGCCCCTCCTCCCTGCTCGCTTGCTCTCTCTCTCAAATAAATAAAATTTAAAAATCTTTTAAAAAAAAGAATGCAAAAACACAGAACTCATAACTACCGAATGAAAATCTGCTACACACAGGTGCAAAAATATCATGAACTGGGCCACGTAAAAGCAGCTATAGTTTTTTATTGAACTAAGAATGATCTTAATTTCAGAAGAATTTCCTATATCCTTTCTCAGGCCACTGCAGCTTTGCTTCTTTTACTTTCAACTTTACTCTTTAAACTCAGCTCTCCAACTCAAAGCTTTGCTCAGTCATTACCTTCCTGATGTCCTCAAAGATTTCTCATGTGTTCTAGATTCCCAGTTATCACACGATGTCTCCCATTTCATAATCTCTTTGCCATGGCTCTTCTGGGGTTATTTACTGCCTGGAAAGCTACGTGAGATCAGCAGCCCTGCTCTCAGGCCCATGATTGGACCACCTCTCACCAGCCATGCCCCTTACCCCCTTTGGGTTCCACTATGTTTGCCAGACACCACTGTCTCTAGAGGGCACCACTCTCATTGCCTAACACCACCGACCTCATCTGGCCCTCTGCCTACGCTGAGCACAGTCACTGCCAGTTGGCATCACTATCACCATCACCCCAAGGGTCTACACTGTGCACTGTTGCCTTTGGCTGGTGCCACTGAGACGCCACAGTAACTCTGTGCTCTGGAGTCAGCCGTACACGACAGCCTGCTGTACTTTCATTGCACTGAGTCACACGGGTATAAACGCAAAACTGCTTCTGCCCTGGTTTTTCAGGAGATTCAGTTAGATGGCTTATTCCATTTAAACCCAGAGCGCCCCCCTCTCCCCCCACCCCCCGCCCTTTCCAGGATGCACTTGCATTCATTGAGAGCTGGGCTCGGGTCAAAACTAAGGGAAATAAAATACAGGCATACCTTATTTTATTGCACTTCACTTTACTGTGCTTTGCGGATACTGCATTTTTTGCAAGTTGAAGGTTTGTGGCAACCCTGTGTTGAGCAAGTCTGTCAGCACCATTTTTTTTAAATTGAAGTATAGTTGACACACAATGTTACATTAATTTCAGGCATACATCATAGTGATTCCACAAGTCTGTACATTACCATGCTCACCACAAGCGTAAGCTACCATCTATCACATCAGCGCCATTTTTCCAACACTGCTCACTTTGTGTCTCTGTGTCACATTTTGGTAATCTTCATAAGATTTTGAACATTTTCATTATTATTATATTTGAATTGCTGTAATCTCATGGTAAAGCTTTCATGAATGAGGAGTTGCTTCTTATAGATGAGCAAAGAAAGTGGCTTCTTGAGATGGAATATACTCCTGGTGAAGATACTGTGAAGATTATCGAAATGACAACAAAGGATTTAGATTATTACATAAACCTAGTTGATAAATCAGTGTTGGGGTTTAGAGGATTGATTCCAATTTTGAAAGAAGCTCTACTGTGGGTAAAATGTTATCAAACAGCATCACATGCTACAGAGAAATCATTCATCAAAGGAGGAGTTAATCACAGCAAACTTTATTGTCACCTTATTTTAAGAAATTGCCACAGCCATCCCAACTCTCGGCAACCACCACCCTAATCAGTCAGCAGCCATCAACAGGGAGGCAGACCCTCCACCAGCAAAAAGATTACAACCCACCGAAAGCTCAGATGGTGGTTAACATTTTTTAGCCACAAAGTATTTGTTAATTAAGGTTTATACATTGTTTTTAAAGACATATGCTATTGCACACTTAATATAACTTTTATATGCACTGGGAAACCAAAAAAATTATTTGACTTGCTTTAGTGTGCAATATTTGCTTTATTACAGTGGTCTGGAACCAAACCCCCAATATCTCCATCCCCAATGTCTGTGTCCCACTGCTCCACCGGCTACATAATTGAGCTAATCATGTCTGCCTAGCTTCCTGTTCCCTTGGAATGAGTCTTTCCCAAAAGTCCTTGGCTCCTCCTAAAGGGCCCACCCCTCTCATCCCTCAGTACATGTCCAGATTTTTTCAGTGGTGCGAGAAACTAAGTTTAAACCGAACCCACAGAACAGAGATTAGAATTTAATCACAAATAGCAGTTACATTTGTTTCTGTAGGTTTGTTAATGTCAGCATTGAAGAATAAAAACCAAACTATCACAGATCACTTGTTACTGCCTCATAGAATTTATTTTACTTTTTTTTTTTTAAGATTTTATTTATTTATCTGACAGAGAGACACAGCGAGAGAGGGAACGCAAGCAGGGGGAGTGGGAGAGGGAGAAGCAGGCTTCCCGCCGAGCAGGGAGCCCGACGCGGGGCTCGATCCCAGGACCCCGAGATCATGACCTGAGCTGAAGGCAGACGCTTAACCGACTGAGCCACCCAGGTGCCCCGAATTTATTTTACTTCATTGGACTTTAGCCTTTTCCCATTACCTATCCAACCAGAGGTATTGTAGGAACCAGCAAAAAGAAATGTGATATTGCAAGGATGCTATAAGGGTTCCATTTGCTGCTTCACATAGTGTCTCCTATGTTTTTTCTGAAATTATTTTACATTATGAATTTTACCACTAATCAAATTTCCCTCCTGCCTTTGGTTGCCCAGTTTAGAGTCAAATCTGCAACCTACCTGGTATTGGCTTGAATTGTGTCCCTCAAAAAAATTGGTTCCGGTCTCAACATCTGGTGCCTGTGAGCAGGGCCTTATTTGGAAATAGGGTCTTTGCAGATGTAATTAAGATTAATTAAGTCATACTGGATTTGGGTGAGCCTTAGAGCCAATGACTGCTATCCTTATAAGAAAATGGGACACACAGAGATTCAGAGGAGACACACAGGGAAGAAGGTCATGTGAAGATGGATACACGGATTGATACAATGGCACTCCAAACCAAGGAATGCCGAGGATTTCTGAGACCCATTAGAAGCTAGGAAGAGGCAAGGCAGGATTCTTCCCTGAAGGCTTCTTAAGGAGTATGTGCCTGCTGACTCCTTGATTTCAGACTTTAGCCTCCAGAACTTTGAGAAAAGAAAGTTCTGTTGTTCAAAGCCACCCAGTTTGTGGTAATTTGTTACGACAGTCCTAGGAAACTACTACATAACTCTTACGACTGCATAGAACCATCTGGTCGGTATTGCTCTAACCTAATCTAGCCCCTTATATTTCTGTTGTCCCAGTTTTCTCAACTATTTATTTGTATCTTCTATAGAGCTGCCTCTTGTTTTTCCATCTCTCTTCTACCCCCTCCCCCTTTTTATCCTACCCCTTTTTCTCTAACTTTGCTTCTGCCCTTTTTATTTTCTTCTCTTCCTTTTTCCTAATACTTTTTTCAATGGTCTATTCTATTTTTCCATTCTGATTAAAATCGATTTTCTGGTTTTCTTGCCTATGGTTCCTCTTCTCTGGAGAAGGAATATACCTGCCCGCACTATTGAAGTTAGGTGTGGCCACATGACCTGCTTTGGTCAATGAAACGTGGTCAGAAGTGATGTGTATCACACTCAAGCAAAAGTTTTAAAACCAAGCATATTTCTTTTCCTTCAGCCAAGGGTACTGGTTGGCCAGCCTGGATCCCAGAGTGAAGACAATGTATAGCACAATTACAGTAGACCTACAGTAAACATGTAGCATGAATGAAAAATAAACCTTTGTTGTAAGTCCCTAATGTTTGGGGGATATTTTTTATTACAGCTTTACCTGTCCTGATAATACAGTTTTTCTTAAAGATTTTATTTTTAAGTAATCTCTCCATGCTACATAGAGCTCGAACTCACAGCCCAAAAGGCAAGAGTCGCTTGCTCCACCGATTGAGCCAGCCAGGCACCCCCTAGATACAGTATTTTATGTTCATTTCTTCCGCTTCTTCCTAATCTTCAATGGGAAGACCTTCCAGAGCTCCCTTTTACCTAACGAATAAAAGCCAAACTACTTAGACTGACATGTAAAATTCACCTCACCCTAACCGGTTTTTCTCCTTTTATTTATTTATTTTTTTTGCTTTAAAGTTATTACTAGAAAAATAGCAGTTAATCACATTAGCCACATTATATTTAACAAAATATTATGCATATTTTGCTACTCTCTTACTTACTGTTTCTGTAAGTCAAGCCTCTGCTTAAGACCAACTAGAGAGTATGACTAAGCCACAGAAGAGCCAGGCTAGGAGAGGATGGGTAGAGTAAAGTTCTGCAAGAACCCATGATCAGAAATTGACCCAGTGGGTTGGTGACCAAAACAGAGCTGAGAGATCTGAAATGGCTCAGGGCCAGAATATGATGGTGGTGCTGGCACGTGAGGGAGATTGCACAAGTAGAAGTCAGTAGCTAAGCCAGAACTGATAAATGAGTGTGGGTCCCGGGAGTAAGACCCACAGGGAATTAAATATCAAGGTATGAAAGATAATGGGGTGTTATAGACTGAATGGTGTCCCCACCAAAAATTCACATGTTGAGCCCTAACACCTAATGTGACAGAATTTGGAGATAGAGCCTTTAAAGAGGTAATTTGAGGGCGCCTGGGTGGCTCAGTTGGTTAAGCAACTGCCTTCGGCTCAGGTCATGATCCTGGAGTCCCGGGATCAAGTCCCACATCAGGCTCCCTGCTCAGCGGGGAGTCTGCTTCTCCCTCTGACCCTCGAGCACTCATGCTCTCTCTCTCAAATAAATAAATAAAATCTTTAAAAAAAAAAAAAGAGGTAATTTGAGTTAAATGAGGTCCTACGTTTGGGGCTCTCATCTAATACGACTAGTGTTCTTTTAAGAAAAGAGACACCAGGAATGTGTGAGCATAGAGAAAATCCATGTGAGGACACAGCAAGAAGATAGCCATCTACAAGCCAAAGAGAGAAGCCTCAGAAGAAACCAACCCAGCCAGCACCTTGATCTTGGACTTTCAGCCTCCACAACTGTGAGAAAATAAATTTCTACTAGGTAAGTAAGCCACCCATTCCATGGCAGTTTGTTATGATAGCCCTAGCAAACTAATACATGGCATAGCAAGGAGGAAGGTCCTACAGGCCAAGTCCTGGACAAGATAATTATTGAAATTCTGCTTTCACTGCAGCTTCCCTTCATCCACACCCACTTCCTACCTGGAGCTCTCCACTACTCCAAGGGAATCATGCCCCTCCTGAAAGCGAGTGTATGTCTTATGTCTTAGACTCCTACCAGGCAGGAACTATGATATTTCTCTCGTATCACCCAGAGATCTGTGCTGTATATAACAAAAAGGTGTATTCAATGCCTGAGGATTGATTACTGTGTTCTCTGTGTTTACCTAAATCAGAGGTTCTTAACTTCATGGAACCCCTGAGTGAGGGGGTAATTCATAGGTGGACTTTAGGAGCTTGCCTACCTCTTTTTGTCAGATTCTTAAAAGGAATCCTAGCCCTCATGGGTTAAAAAAAATACTTCAACTTTGATACTGGCTTTTGTTAGACCCTTTTGACCAATGCTGATGTTATGTGGGTCGGGTCATATGCAGTAATGTAATAAGCACTTCATTTGTCAGAGTTCTCCAATCACATTTAAACACTGGGTAAATTTCTAAATCTGATCTCCAGCTCCATCTGTTAGGTGGGTATTACAGGTTTATTGTTCTCAGCTTCATAAGCTGTAAACTATCTTAGAAACGACAGCCTTAGAAACAATAAGAGTTTGGATAGCTGCCCATGAACATTCCCAAAATAAAGCCATACTTAAAAGACATTGTAGATTCAGGGTTTTTTTATTTAAAAAAAGTAATAATCGGTTATCTAGTTATAAGAAATACAGTGGATCTTTTGAATCATGTTATAGATTAATAAGATCTAGAGAAAACACCTAATGTAACAGAGTCAAAATTCTCAAGCTTTGCCACCTATAAATGAACTCTGTAGCTACATAATTACATTTAAGAGATAAATCACGTATCTTCACTTAAGATATAAATCCAGGGGCGCCTGGGTGGCTCAGTCATTGAGCATCTGCCTTCGGCTCAGGTCATGATCCCGGGGTCCTGGGATCGAGCCCCGCGTCGGGCTCCCTGTTCCGCGGGAAGCCTGCTTCTCCCTCTCCCACTCCCCCTGCTTGTGTTCCCTCTCTCACTGTGTCTCTCTCTTTCAAATAAATAAATAAAATCTTTAAAAAAAAAAAAAAGATATAAATCCAGTTTGCTTTAACCAAATTATTTCTATGTTAATGTAGATTTCTCTAAGAAATTTCACTTTGATCATTTCATAGAAACATAAAATATCAATTTTAGTATTAGAAAGAGTATTTTTGTTGGTCGAGCCTTTTTTCCATAGTCCTCCAGCTACAACTTTCTCTACATTCTCATTGGGTTAATATAATACCTGAAATCAATCTCATCAAGCTATCTCAAATAAATGGGGAATGTGGTTAGAATATGAAGTCAATATTTCGGGTCCCAGAGAAAATTTCCGTAGCCAAATCAGGCAAAATCTTCAGAAATGCTTGTCCTACGTACCCCTCAATAGTACCACCATAGCCGTGGCCCTCAGGAGCTGTCAGAAAAATGGTGACTGTGTCTCCTACACTTCTCAGACCGGATGTGCACAGAGGCAGAGGAGAAGCAAAGTCAAACACAGCCCACTCCTTTGATCCTGCCTCTGAGGAGACGGCTCACACCCTAGACCTTGGCTAAGGAAAAACATCCTATTGTCTGAGGCAAAAGGACATCACGTCATTTCATCCTGTGCCTGGAAAGGCCGTTCAGAACAAGTAATCCTGATTGTAGAGACATGAGACAGTTCCCAGCTGCACCGTGACTTGTTTCGGTTCCTAGGCAAATTGCCCAGTTTCCTCTGCTCCCAAATTTCCCCAACTGCAAAACAGAGATAATTATTGTTACCTTTCCCTTGCGGTGTTCTGACAAATAAATAGGGCAAGTGTTTCTAAAGTGGTTGGACACAATTGTCTAAGGACATACTTGCCTAGAACTATAGGTGGGGTTTTTGTTTATTTTTGGCGTTGTTATTTTGCTTTTGGCCTGACTTTGGCGTAAGTGTAGAAAATCTGAATTAGGGGCGCCTGGGTGGCTCAGCGGTTAAGCATCTGCCTTCGGCTCAGGTCATGATCCCAGGGTCCTGGGATCGAGCCCCGCATCGGGCTCCCTGCTCCGCGGGAAGCCTGCTTCTCCCTCTCCCACTCCCCCTGCTTGTGTTCCCTCTCTCGCTGTGTCTCTCTCTGTCAAATGAATAAATAAAATCTTAAAAAAAAAAAATGAGTAGCACCAGTCTATTTCATGAGAAAACTTCTTCTCATAGACCAGTCATTATACAGGGGGTTTTAGTAAGGAGTGGTGATGGAGGAATAATAGTCCATGAACTGCAACAACTCTTTTTTTTTTTTAGGATTTTATTTATTATTTATTTAACAGAGAGAGACACAGCGAGAGAGGGAACACAAGCAGGGGGAGTGGGAGAGGGAGAAGCAGGCCTCCCGCCGAGCAGGGAGCCCGATGCGGGGCTCGATCCCAGGACCCGGGATCATGACCTGAGCCGGAGGTAGACGCTTAATGACAGCCACCCAGGCGCCCCAACTGCAACATTTCTGAATCGGCATCCAAATGATCTATAATATGAATGAGTGATGCTTCATAGATACAGACGTTTCTGAAGGTCATTTAAAGAAAGTTGAAAGTATCTGAGTTACCCCGCTTCTATTAAAATTGAGACTGTGTTCCTGAAAACAATTTCCAATTAAGCAATGTAAAAATGCGTCTGCTGCAATTATTCTTCTCCCCTTCCTTTAACCCCCACCCCCCAATTTCCTTTAAGAAGAAACAACAGCGGAGTTTCTTTTCAAAGTCTTAAAATAAAAATCCCCCAAAAAGGGATCCTGCTTGCTTTTAGAGTTGTTTGAAAAAGGAAAAAAAATGCCTAAAGAGCCACGTGCTTCTGTTCTGGCCAAGTTATTAGCCTCTGAGAACAAGAGCTAGAGGAGAGGACTGTTAACCCCCTCATCTCGGGCAGAATGAGCTCGTTCCCTGTTGGCTTGCACTGCCTGGAAAGCTTGCACCCTCAGAGAGGCCAGCCTGCCAGAGAACTGCAGGAATCTGCAACAAAAACGATGACAGCCTGAAATACACCCCGGTGCCAACCTCCACATTTGTCTGTCACCTCAGACCCTGACTAGTTGACAGAGCAGCAGAATTTCAACTCCAACAGATTCGAATGTGTTTCTGGGCAGAGAAGCAGAGCTAACGGGTGAAGAGATTTTTTAAAGAGTATTGCATATTTATCAAACTTTTATTTCCTGGCTGTGTGCAAAGAGGGGATTCAACTCCAATTTTGTATCAAGGCTCTGGGTCCAGTCACATCCCTGAAGGTAAATTTTAATAAGTTTACTGTATCATCAAATTGCATTTGTTACACTAATTTGCATGATCTGATGAAGATGTCTAATATTTTTTTCCTAGTACAAAGCCATTTATTTACCAAAAAAAACAAAAACCCACAAACCTTTTGTGTGACTTAGAGAAAAGCTACTTAATAGGAAAGTTTAACTCTCGTATTCATGTTTCCTTTTCTTCTCCAAGATTAAACAGTAAGTGGTAATAAATGATGGTTTTTAATGTAGACCAAGAACATAAATGTAGAACTGTTGTTGGCCAGATTAACATTCAGATCTTGGTGAAGTCTGAATCCGGAAATGGGTTTTTTAGAAATATTTTATTAAATATATTAAAGAAATCATAAGGGATGTAATTTTTCTTTTAACTTTCAAATCAAAGCATTTTCCATGTTTAAATTACCTGAAATTATTTCATCACCACCATTGTCCCAGTCTGTACTACCTAACATCAATGTAGAAATGGAACATTTTGCTTTTCCAAAAGGTAGGAAAATGCCTATACTACTATTATCTTTGATTATTTTTTAGTTATTATGACTATTATTCCTTTCCTAACTCTGTTTTATACTTTCATGACTAATTGTCTCTTGTCTCCTTCTACCATTTTTTAAGATGCACCCACATAAAATTTCTCTAATTTCTAATGATGTCTTATTTGGGGAGGGAAAGGGGTGGGAGGGGAACCAAAGAGCTAAAGAGATTATGGTAACTCCTCTAGTGTAAGGTACTATCATTTCTGGCTCTACTAAAATAAAAAACAGTAATGCAAGTCATGCTCAGTCATTCCTCCTAGGTATTAGAGGTCCCCCTGCAGGAGAATACCATGCTTTCAACTGCAGATTGATGCTGTTGATACTCTAACCAAGGGGTACTGCGGAAAGAGTATCTCTTTTGCACTGCCTTTAATCTGCAAAGAGGTTAAGTATGTCACCTTGGCATTGTATCTGAGCTTTCCTCTGGCCCACGGCCTAAGTACACTGACTAGAAATGTTCACTCAATCCTACTCAGCAGAAACCTTTTTTCTTTTTTTTTTAATTCTCCCCTTTCTCTTGGATACCAACTTTTTTTCAGTTCAGAGCTTATTCACCTAAACTTTGATGGTAATGGCTATTGCTAACTATGACTATTTTTAAAAAAAGATACCCCTCTTAGGAAAGATTTAAGTTTATATTTCTGTTCATTCAACAAGATCTAGCAAAGCAAAGCAATCTATTTCATCCACTTATCGTCCAGTCAACTAATGCTACTTCCCACATTTTTGAAAACAATATGTACATGTTATTAATGACTCTTGTCCTTTTTTTCTTTTACGGGATTTCTGTACAGCCATTCAGCAATTACTAAGGCTTCCTTTCCAGGTCTTTTGGGATTCAATTCCCAATCTTTCTCATGTGCAGCTCCACTTATCAACTACGTAAAAAGACAGTGATGATAGAAAGGAAATGAATGGCGATGTTTCTAGACAAGGCCCGAACATTATTCATTTCATTTCCTCTTGACAGCTTGTCATTT